TGACCTGAAGAGGTCATTTTTTGGCCTCTCTGGTAAGGGCCACCTTTTGGGATGAGTGATAATCAATGAGACTACCGCTCATCTCAAGCAGAAATTGCGAAACGGAATAGAAAATTCTAACGAAAGCGCAGTTGGGGAAGAGGGCTTTGCAAAATTTTTTAATTTCCTTTTTTCACCGTCTTGAACGCGTCTTCAGTCTCCTCACAGAAGTCTTGCGCCCTTCATCTCCAGCGTTCTTCTTCTTCTTCTTCATTGCTGCTGTTGCTGTCATACTTGCCATTGTCGCTCCCTCCTCCTTGTCCTCCAACTCCTGGTCTTCTTCTGTCTCCTTCTCGGTCTCCTCCTCCTCCTCATCATCAGTTCAGCTGCTTCAGCATCATCTCATCATCATTATCACCTTCAACGTCCTCCATGCGGACGCTCCTTAGGAGTACTTTCCTTTTCGGCGAAAACAGGATAGGCTCCCCCAATGATATAAAGACATGGAGGAGCTAGAACACAGGCGAAGCGAAGGAGGATATAAGAGAGGAAACACCAGCCACTGCAAAAACTAACAGTAGCATCGTGGAACATTGATGGACAGGCCACGATGCCTACAAGAAACACATCTTATGGACACTGAGGGTCATTACAAAGTAAAAACCAAAATTCTATCTAAGCTAAGATGGGTTGAGGAAGCGTACTGGGAACCAGCAAATAGACCACACTCATCAGGCACAAGCTATCTTACTCCATAGCCGGTCACAATCAGCGGACAAGATCATAATACAAGGACACAAGATAGAGGAGAGAGACGGCAGATGGATAAGCCTGAATTTTCAGTTCCAAAACAAACTCTGTAGAGCAATTCATGTGCACAGTCCGAACGGGCTACAGCAAAGAACGCAGATGATGGAAGAGATACTAGAGAGGTGTGACAGAAACAGACACATGGTTCTGGCAGGCGATTGGAATGCCACCTTAGACCCAGCATAAGGATAGAACGACAGGAGCAATGAGGGGGGTGGAAGGAGTAATTTGGGAGGAAGCCCTACCAATACACAATCTAATGACAGAAAAGTGAGGTTGTAGAGCCATATCACCTGCTGTAACCGGATGACAAACAGTTCACTTATCAGAAAAGAAACCGTAGCCAGCACATATCAGCATCTAGGATATATTATTTCTTGATATCCCAGAGCCTGATAGGGACGTTGCACTCCGTAGGAACGGAAGACCTACCATACCATTTATCAACGGCCTGGACCACAAACTGATCTCGCTAAGCATAGCCATAGACAAACAGATTGACCGTGGAAGGAGCTTTTTGTTACAAAGTTAACAATTCTCTACCGACAACGCAGGCCATGAACCAAGCTATACTGGAAACCTACTGACCCATGGTCCACAGACCCAAACCTTGCCCGAACTGCTACAGTCCTTATCACAACAAGCTTCTGAAAAACTGGCACGACAGCTGGCAGCGAAGAGAAAAGCAAGGGAAGAAGAACTGTACCAAGCCCTGAGGATTGCGGAACAGAACCTCGTACAACACCTGGGACACGGAAGTTACGCGATAATCTTGGAAGCAGCGAAAGACAAATTGAAAGAGTGGGAAAGTTGGAGAAGCAGGGGGCTGCAGATGAGGGCAAGAATCAGGGAATGGGAACAAGGAGAGAGGATGACCAAAATGTTCTTCCAAAAAATCAAGGCCAACGGGCGAAAGTCGCTTATAGAACAGCTACAGGGAGAAGAAGGGTTGGCAACAGACTGTGAGAGGGGATATTGGGAATTGCGCATGACTTCTATAAGACACTATACACAACGAGAGAAGGGCAATTCATGCCCCATCACACCAAAGCCACCAAAGACAAATCTCTGACTTATCTAGATACCACAATAACTAAAGAACAGGCAGAAAAAACTGGATGCCCCAGTCCCACAGGAAGCGCTGGAGGAGGCACTCAAATCCATGAACTCGAATAAAACGCCAGGAAGAGATGGGCCTCTCCAAGGAATTTTGGCAGACCTATTGGCCAGTCTTGGCGGGGGTATACAGGGCCTTTTTAAACAAGGGTTGGCAAAAGGAAGGAATGGATTTTTCGCAAAAATGGGCAAAGGATCACGATTTTTGTTTCAACAACGACAAATCCCTTCTGTTTTAAGTGTCGCGGAAGAGGACACCTGGGCATGCACTGTCCACAGTCGGGAGCGGGGAGTAAACCAATCCAGTTACGTCAATCGATGCTGGAAGAATCGGACAACAAGCGGGTATATGGTACATAAACGCAGCACAGTACAGGGGATGGATTTTTTACGATAACTTGGAGTCCCCTAGGTGGGTGTGGGTGCTACAGGGGGCACCGACACTAAAGCCTGACATCTATCCCCCTTACGATAGCAGATGGAGACAAAAGGGAGCCAAAAGAATGAAAGATAAGGACATAGGTTATCTGATAAAGCCTATGATTGACGAAACCATGCTATTGGATGATAAGCAAAGACTGAGAAAACAATGGAAGAGCTCAATCAGATTGGGAAGACAGCAGAAGTTGCATATCTGGAAAACTCAAAAGCAAGGGAGGAAGCACAAAGCGAAACACAGAATCACGACCAGGAGAACGGGTCTGAAGGCGGGGAATGTGGGGAAGGACAGGGTGGGTCAACTAAACAGAGGAGCACGGCTACCTCACTCAAACGGAAGGCTAGGACAGAGGAGTTGAGCGAGTCGGAACAGAGTAAGCAAGGGGAACAGGGAACCAAGCGGGAGGAATCAAGGTCACAAGGGATACCCAGCAGACGCCGGGGGGTCAGGGTCAGGAGATGGAGACAGAACAGGGCGGGACAGGGGGTTCCAGCCCCTTGGGAGAACAAATGGAGATTTCACACCAAGGGGATAGTGGGCAGACTTCATCAAAGGAGCAAGAAATGGAAGAAGCAACGGGCCAAGATGGAGGGGACACGGGCAACGGGACGGATTTTTCCGAAGGGAAATCAGCCAGTTCCTCTACAAAATCTAGAAGAGAAGAATAAGGGGGGGAGGGAGAGGAGGGGGAGGATTCGGAGGAGAGTTCAAGCGAGGATGGATGGGAGGATGCGGAGGATGAGGAGGAGGAAGAACCTGAGACACTAGAAAGATGGGTCAAGTGCGTGCAGGCGCTGGAATGGGAGAGGCCGGTGGAATGTGAGGTCGTCTGGCACACCATAAACACTTGCGTAACTTGAAGGACGCCACGACAGCAACGAAGGGCATCACTACCACAAATCGCTTTGAGATTTTGAAAAAGGAGAAGGAGATAAATGAGTTTTATGCGAAGCAATATGGGTGGAAAGCTCAACACCACAACAATGACATTCAGGTGCGAAAAGAGGGTTACAATAAGCAGTTTGAATGGCCTAAGACTTACCTGCCAAAAGCGATGAAGAGATCTGAGAGCAAGCGAAAGGCGAGTTCTGCAAGAACAGGAGAGGAAATGGGAGATGAAGAGCTAAGAGAGGATGCACGCAGGCAAGCAGCGATCTTGGAGGCTCAGATTAATGTCCTCAAAGAGCAGAATCGTGAGCTGGGTGAAGATACAACGAAATTAGAAAACATAGCTTATGCGCCACATAAAGAAATTGAAGCAGCAGCGAGGCTATATGCCAGAAATTCACCCAGACGCAGGGTAATCATCCCCTTCAAGTGGAATGAAGTCCACAAGGATTGGGAGGTGGCAATCCATCGCTCGTTGGCGCTGGTCATGATAGATGAGGCCAACTGCTCTGGTCAGGCCCTGGAGGGTATGATCTCAGAAGATCTGCCAGCCCACGCATATGGGATAGGGGATTGGAAGCAGGGAAAGGAGGAAAGTGCAGACACAATGGGCACAGTGCAGACAAAAGATTACAGGCCAATAATGTTCAAGCTGCAGGAAACGGCGAAGTTGAGTGAGGGCCTAATATGGATGCCATGGCGGGTGGTGGAGACCGTTCCCTACGGACTGTTAGGGGGGTTGGTGATGGCAGAGCGGGTGGCCAGAAGTGCGCCGTTAGTACTAAAAACTGATGCCTTTTCGTGGAAGCCAGAGTACATTGAGAAGAGGATTGCAAGGGGAGCAACAAGGTTGGATCTATTAGAGACAGGGTCTTGAACACCTCTCAATGAAAGAAGGGTGGACAGGGGATGACAATTCGTAATGCAGGACAGTGAAGGAGGCCAACAGGGGAAGCGTAGAAGAAAAGTTCAGGCACAGCCAAGGAAGGAGTCGGAGTTCAGAGTAATCTCCTGGAATATAAACGGGCTGGTATAGATTTTGGACAACCCGGACAAGTGGAACAACTTTGTTCAGTATTTAGGATAGTTTGACCAGAGTCCGCCAGGCTTCGTGTGTATACAAGAAACTCACTTGACCACTTCAGAAGAACATGGGCAAGTCAAGAATAGGATTTTACAAAGATTGAGATGGGTGGCAACAGATTTCTGGGCACCGGCACCACGCCCACATTCAGCGGGGGTGGCGATTCTTCAAAACAAGAGGGCCATCTCAGCGAAGAATCTAAAGATAGAAGAAGTGAGAGTGGATTATAGGGAAGGTAGATGGGTGAAATTGAACTTTCTTTTCCAGGAAGAGTGCTTCACTCTCGTATCTATCTACGGGCCCAACACATTCCAACCAAGAATACAACTTTTAGAGGAATTGGAAGCCTTAATAGAACCCACCAGGCATATTATGTTAGTAGGGGATTGGAATGCCGCATTGGAACCAGCACGGGATAGAATGTCAGGGGGTCACAGCATGGGTGAGAGCACATTAGGTGAAGAGGCACTTCCAATTCATAACATGATGGCCGCTTTCGATTTGATTGACCCATTCAGATTGTACTATCTGGAGGACAGGCAGTTTACCTACTATAAGAGGAATAGGAGTCGACACGTCTCAGCATCGAGAATAGACTACTTCTTGATCTCACAGTCAGTCATAGGAATGATCCATTCAGTGCGTATAGGTGACTTTCCTTATTTTAGTGGATTGGACCATAAAGTGGCATAAACCTACTTTTCTCTATTTGTCCACAGATAAGCAAGTCAAGAGAGGTAAAGGATTCTATAAGGTTAATAATTCCATTCTTCAAACCCATGAAATGAGGCAGGCCGTTTTGCAGTCTATAAGGTAATCAATCCTTCCCCGAACTCCTGAACGCTATGAGTTGAGCTTCGGCGGCAGCGGCTAGGCAGCTAGTGACCAAAAAGAAGGCGCGGGAAGCTGAGCTTCAACAAGCATTAAGAATAGCAGATAGTAACCTAGTTAATAATCCAGGTACAGACTTGTATGAAAGAATCTGGCATGCAGCAAGAGAGGAATTGGGAGCATGGGAGCGTTGGAGGACCAAGGGGCTGCAGATGAGGGCAAGAGTCAAGGAGTGGGAGGAAGGAGAAAGGATGACTAAATACTTCTTTCGGAAAATTTGGTCTAAAGGCAGAAGCTCACTAATAGAACGACTGCAAACATCGGAAGGGCAGGTATCAAAGCCGGAGGAGATGGTTGCAGTGGCTGAACAATTCTATAAGGAGTCAGATCATTCGCAACAACAAGTACAAGGATCCAAATCAAAGTTCTTAGCTCATCTAGAAAGGTCAGTACCTAGTGCACAGGCAATGATGCTAGAAGCCCCACTCACTCAGGAAGAGCTATGGGAAGCACTGAAGTCAATGTCACCCAATAAGACCCCAGGGAAAGATGGATTGACCAGGGAATTTTGGATTGAATACTGGCCAATCTTAGGGAGTGAATATATGGCATAACTGGAAAAGGCCTGGCAGGCAGGGGGTGTTACGGACTTCGCCAGGGCTCGATCCCTGGTCTATCTTTTGCTGTTTCGGCTGCATCCCATTTTCGGCCTGGCACCCTTTTTCCAAACCCCTCCTTTGGTACCGTAGGATTTTGGACAACTGGCGCCATGCTGCAATTCGGGCACCACTTTCAAATA